GAACGGTGTGGTGAAGAAGGGAAGCTTTGCGGGAATGAGATTGAGAAGGCTGGGGACAGGTGTGGATGGGAGAAAAGGATTAAAAGACGAACCCCCTGCAACCTGGCGTCGTCTCTCCTTTATGTGCCACGACGCCTTTTTGGGTGAAGGATACTGTGCAAATTTTAAACTGCATAAAAGCAAATTGAACTTGTATATTACAGTTATACCGTGCGAAAATAAAAAAACGGAATGCATTCACACTTCTAATGACAAAACCACCTTGGTGCGGCAATATACACATACAATGTAGAGAGACATAAGAACTGCTTATACGTACAGTATTGTATGTATGTAATTGAGCAGCTGATGTTTCACAGGTTTAATGGCACTTTAAACACCATATCTACTTAATTGAAACTACTGAGGTGGTAATAGTGGTGCTAATGCTGCAATGGTTGTCACACCGCACGATGAACCAGCGCAACCTGAGTTTGATTCCTGGCTACGGCTAAGCATCAGTCATGAGTGGTATGTAAACTGGTGCTGGGCACCCCACCTTGACTTACCTGCGCAGACTAGCATGGTGAAGTATGGTCAAACAAACCCGATAGCTGGAATGGCGTGGAGAAGTTTTCATCTAGTAGTAGATTGACAAAGGGCTGTAAATCGATTAAAAAAGGTAATTAACTCGGAATGCATTATTTTATTTTCTGTTATTGTACGTTTATGTAATGTGTATTACATGATGAACCTGGTAATTAGTCATTGTTTATGTATGTGTATTTAGGAGGGTTCTGCATTGCATTTTTGTATTAAGATGTTTCCGCCTATTTACACGAGTTTATACATTTGAGAGGAAACATGATCAGAACAATTGACACTGTGGCAATGGAATTCAAACAAACGCACACATATGTGTATGTACAGGGTGGCCACAAAATCACATTGCATGAAAAACAACAATGTACCTCTCTATTAGAACAGTTCCGCGTGTTTCCTTCCATTCTCAGCACACAGCTGGATTCGTGCCAAAGTTCTCCTTGACAGATTCTTCCAAGTGGATGGCCGTATACAGTACTTGTAAAGGCAGTTCCGGAGAAGCTTTTTTTACTTCCTCAATAGTCGTCAATCGTAAGGGTAAGAGTGAAATATTGTCATTGATAATTTCCCCAAGGGAATAATAATCTACAAATGTGATCATTCCGGACAGCTGTTTTGAGTTCCTCAATATTTGTCAATCGTAAGGGGTAAGGGTGAAATATTTCCTTGGGGAATTTTCAATGATCACGTTGTTGTCAGGTCTGGGCTCCGGGCAGCCACATCATATCCAATTCTTTCCCAATTAATCGTCCACTGAATCCCTGATTCAAATATTCCTGAAATATTCCTGCCATTGCGAAGGCATAATGCGCCGGAGAACATTAATATTCCAAGCAAAGGGACTTCGTGGCCACCCTGTACACTATGTCCTTATCATAGTTAAATGTCACAGGAATAAGCTGTCAGATCTTGCCTTCAATCAATCTGCCACAAGGTACTGCATATGGACAATGATAACCTCTGATCAGCACGGTTGGTTACGTACGGTGCGAAAGAAGTTCAACATATATATAGTACATAACCAAGGAACTTCAAAATGAATACGGCATCAGGAAAGAGCAATGATAAATACAACTACATTCTGTGCCGCCGAATAGAAGTAAACATGTATTAGTCCATCAAATATGATCAAGCATCATATGTTTAAGCAGACATTATGAACCGTTTTGAACCTTCTGAAGCTCGTTACCAGGGCCAGACTAAATATGTTATTGGCAAGAGCACTCCGTATAAAACATAGAACCCTGATCAATACAAAGAGTAATGTAGTACACAAAGTCATTATGTGTTGCTGTGTAGCGTTATGGGTAAAAACAAATATAAACAGAATCCCATTCTGTCTCCACATGTTAAAAAGAAAGTACTTCATCACATTCCCAGGGTAGTATTTCAATATCTCATTATCAAAACTTATTGACACGTAAATGTATATGCTTTCCAAAGCTAGAAACTGGTGAGCTCATATTGCAGGGTTTGCCTTTGAGCCAAACAGCTGCACCAATGTTTTATGTATGCATTTTGATTTATGCTTATAATATTTCCTCTCCAAAACCATTCAATGCCCAGAACATCTTTTCGCAAATGGCAACAAATAATAAAATACATATTTTTATTGTGCCTTCAAGAACGTCTCATACCAGTCTAATTATGTTTGTTTATTATTCTAATTTTCATCAGGAAATTTCACATTAAAACATATTCCTTCTTGTAATCCTTTGGGCTTTTGCTGAAAATTGGGATTTAGCAAGATTAATACCCAGTACATGCCTAGAAAATTAATTCTGCAGAGAATATATTGGCCAACAGCATTGACTCAAGGTTGCTCTTTGCATGGTGTGTGTGCTATTCCTGTGCATGCATGGGAGTAACATGGAAAAGATAGCAGCATTGTTTGGCTTTCTAGAAAAAATATATATAAATAAACAGACACGACATGCAGAGTTTGCCTGCTTAAACAAATCCTGCTGTAAAACATTGGCCTTAAATGATCAGGGGCTGATGCACTAACCATTTATTTTGACATGGAGAGATGGCCTTTTGTTTGATGATGTTTTTTGTCACAATGAGCGAGCACAAAGGTGCAAAATTATGTTGTTGTTGCAATGTTTTTCTATTTTCCAACGGCATATGCGAAACAGGCCTGACTGCTGTATAAACGTATAAACTCAAAACTGGTCCAGAGTTTGCCTTCTCTAATGTTTTATGCTGTAGATCCCTGTTAACCGTGATCCTTAATGATATCCCAGAATAAATATTACATTTTTATCACGTCTAAAGACTAGCATTCATTGTACAGCATTATGGTTTCCATGGCAATTACACGAAAGTACGTGGAGCCTGCACACAGAGAAAAGGTCCTCATAAGTGTTATCATCACTGCCATCTCTGTGTGAAGGCAATTTGGAGATAAAGGAGTTGATTACTCCCAAAAATGTACCATTATTCTATTTCATTGAGTGCACTTGATTGGAGAAAGTGCGCGGTTTCCTTTAACGGAACAAATACTCATTTCAAACGGACATACATTTGCAGAGGTCTATACAGAAATAACAAAAGCCAAGCAATTCAAAACCAAGAAAGCATAAGTTGGCCCTATTCACTTTGTCCTGATGGTGTCCCAAACAGAGCTTAGAAGGAGTCGAATGCTGCGTTTGCAGTACGAAGTTTGATGCAGCGCGATAACACATTTCACTGTGGCAATGAGAGCGTCGCCATAAAACCTCTTCCGTGGAACAGCTCTTATTTGTGTTGATTACTTTGAGTGTAAAATTAATATGCATGGATGTGTGGCATCAGTAATGTGAAACGTAATACAAGTAATGCAATTTTTAAAAATGAAACCATTTAATAACGGTGACCACTATCACATGTCTAAATTATTTAACCTTAAAAACACATCGGCGGAGACAGCGCATTTAGTGCAGTACAGCACACCTATCCTTGGGTTTGTCATGAATGCAAAAGTGTTTGTAATTAGCTGTTTTCCAATAGTAGATCATAATTTAAAATTTCCATGACTGTTTAAAGGACATTCATGAAAATGATTCACATTTACTCAAGACCTTTGTGTATGGTTTCGGACATACATACATCCATACAAACCAAGATCCCCCGTATAGCCTAAAAAGACTGTTGGGGCAGGTGCTGTTAGCGAGCACCTATAAATGCCGGCACAGCAAAGCAAGGGGGTGAGTGGCCAGCACCATGCCCGGCCGCCTTTGCCTCCCTAGTGGTAATGTTTAAACACCACACCAGGTACTCATTTGAGGGTGAGTCGACCGAGGGGAGGCCCAGGACCGGTTCAGATAATCGTCACTGATGTTGGCCATGAGCGGGAATCGAACTCAGATGGCCAGGTTCGTAGTGCAGCGCGCTAACCGCGACTACACTACCGATCTACAGACACATAAACCTCATGAATTCTTACAAATTCAACTACTCACATTTTGTTTCATTGTGCAATTTATAATATGTTATCTACGTAGAAATATAAATGTATTTTAAATACCAGCTAGTCACGTTCCACGTCATATTTGCAAATTACAAATTGGTATTCCAATATAAAGGATAATAGATTTTGCATTGTTACAAAGTAACCGTTATTGACAAAAGGGAGCATCTTAGAGGAATATACACCATTTGCTTGTAATTCCAAGTAATGTAGTAATATTAAATTGCAGCCCTCTTTAAATCCACTGCTAGATGAAGGGCCCCTCACACTGGATCATTCATGGGGGTTATTTGACTATATTTCACCAGAGGACGATTTTTGGCGCCTTTTGGCGTCCTCTGGTCTAACACCGTTTGAGACTAGGCTCGCAAGAAAGCTATCTCTGGTGTGGACCAATCAGTTTCAAAGATAATGCATATATTATCTGAGTATGTTTTTTTTGTTTGCAGTAGTGTGGTTAATGCAGACATGATTCCTTGTAAAAGGTTTTAGTTTGTTGTTTTAACATCTTAACACCTGTTTTGTTGCCAGAAAAAAGGTGAAAACCCTATTCTCACAGTACACGCTATTCATTTGTCATTGTGTATCCTTTACATTGCGACTATGGATGATAGGCATATTTATTTTTGCCATTACCTCCATCTACAAAGCCAATATAATCCGTAAACCAGGATTGTATCGCTTTCGAAGTGGATTCCGTCACTTCGTGTGTCGCCTACAATTGTATTATTAACATGCTTAATCTTGCGTGTATATTTTATACGACTAAGCAATGTCAAGAGCACTGCTATCAGAGGAGCGACCATTCACTGCAGAGCATTCCCTCCGACCGAGCATTTCGGACTGCCGAGCGTACTATCCTGCCATTGAATGCTGCTGGTGCCCCGTAAACTGTTAACCGAACGCTAGAGAGCAGCCTACAAAAATGCACTGCACGATTTCCCCCGCGCGCCAGCCCCCCCCCCCCCCCCCTTATTCCTTAAGCATTTTTAGGTCGTGCATATTCAGGCAGACACGCGCGTCCTGTTCTCGGGCTGACCGTCAAGAGCGCCGAGTGACCCAGACGGCAAAGCATTTTTTTTGTTGCTCGCCGAGTTACTCGGACCGTGCGTGTCGCGCCGTTGCGTCTCGTCGTGCCGGTTTGATTGCGTCCCGTGCGACTAGTTTTAGAAGACACGCTCCAGTGAACGGTCATTGCCTTTCTGCGCGAGAGAGAGAGAGAGAAACGAACGAACGAGCGAGCGCGCTCCGAGAAGAGCTTTCGCTGTTTTCCCGCGACTGTTAGTCTGTAGTGGGGTTTTTTTTTTTGGGAAGGGGGGGGGATTATCTTTTTTTTCTTCTGGGGAAGCTATCCAAGCTGCTGCATCTTCACCGGGTGCAATAAAACAAAAAGGGTGGGCTTTATTTATTAACTTTGGACATTTCTACACTGGGGGGTGGGTGGGTGGGTGGCCTGGGGGGGATTAGCGCAGCTACCTTAAAGATGAGAAGTGTACGCGTGTGGTCGTCTCTTTTTTGTTGCAGTCACCTACTGCTCTGGGTGCTCCTTTGCAATGGTAAGTAGCTCTGATCTCCGTTTAGTATTTCACGTACGTTGTTATCGTTTTTTGGTTTGATTAATTGCCACGGAAAGTATGTATGTTATATACGGTTTTTTTTAGTTTTTTCCCCAAAGTTCGATCTCATCTAATGTTGCAATGACAAATTTAATGAAATGTTACAATGGCAACATTGGACACGGCATGCCCAATTAGATCAAGAGAGACGCATGAAGCAGGGGGTTCAATATTTGACACCAATATTAACCGTGAACATCAGGCTCGTGGGTTGTCTCCAGCAATGATAGTTACATAAATAAATACGCCTGGAATCACCTCGCCTCCCTGCGTTCCTTTCACTGCAATGCAATGATGAATACGTAACGAGAGCAATCCTCAAGTAGGACTGACCAGAGCAAAGGGTAAAAGTCAATCGAAGGTAAGCGTCCTATTATTATTTTTTCTCCATTCGTCCATTAAACCTATTTTTAGCGAAACAAGCGTTCGCCCCATAAAGAAAGAATAGGACGTATTGCGTTATGTTGAGTATAAATCATCGGTCTTGTTTTTAAAGTGTGTATCGATTTTATTATAGCGTACACTATTTGTCACTTGACACATGGCGAACGTAATTGTTTCACGCGGTTGTTTTTACTAATGTATTATTTCACGTTTTAGAGCTCAATGGTTAAATACATTTAGGGGACTGATGTATTAATAAGACCTCTTCAAATGGGATTATAATGGCATGTAATTTGCATTATTAAACTGTCGGTGTGCGCTAAATGTGTGTTAAAGTAGGGCTTGAATCAATTATCATGAAAGCACTATTGGCAGACATAAACAGTGTAAAGCCCTGTGGTACATGTCTAATGCAGGACAACGATAGGATATGGTAGTATGTCATGAAACTTTTTGATGATCACTTACTAAATTGACATACTGTCATTCGCTAGTGCAAAACAGGTTATCGTGGTGGTTTAATTAACGGTAACCGTGAAATATCAAGGGCTCCACCTAGTTAGTAGTCAACACAGAGGTTTGATCTTTTCACGTGTCTGCAAAGAGGAGTGTCACGCTAAGGCCATTTCGCTTTTCCATATTGAAAAGTAAATTATACCAATTTAAAATGTAGTTATTTTGACAGCAGTAAAAATTATCAATACATTTAGGGATTTTTTTCCCCGGTGCCAACTTGAAGAAAAATCGTAAAAAAAAAAATGCTTTAAATCGCCTTTACCCGTCACTGTCCTTCAATGTTGCGGCAGTCCGCAGAGTATCACGTGAAAAAGAGTTTCATGGAATGTTATTGTGAGATATTCATCGTAAGTTGAGACTTGTCAAAACGTGAGTTTTAATCATCAACTTTTATTCCAACCACGACTGTGTAATGTACAGCCCTGTTCAATTCACTGCTGGATGAAGGCCTCCCATATATCATGTTGGTTATGAAGATTGTTTAATCCTACTTCGCGCAACACTCAGGTGCGCTTCTGTGACCGTCTGGAATGCTCTTCCTTCCAAAATTAGGAAGCCGCTGGAGCTATGCACTTTTAAATCTCGATTGAAACCCCATTGCTTTAGCACTGCGTTTTGATTTCCACGTATTGCCCTTCCCCCTCACCTCTGCTGTAACACGGTTGGTTACGTATAGTGCAAAAGAAGTTCAACGCACATACTACACACTGTCCCTCGCCCGTGTGCGATTGAGAGGGGTCGGGGGGACACAGAACCGGTTCAGATGTGTACAGTATGTATGTATGAGGATATCACTCGCCACTGATGTTAGCTGTGGCTGGGAATTAAAGTCGGGCAGCTGGGTTCAGAGCACAATGTATAACCACTGCACTATTTCTCCTCTCGATTGAATAATATTTTCATATTTTTGTTATGTATGTTTTACATATGCATTAGACTCATTTGCAAGTATGGACGTTATTTACTTCATATTGTATGATTACGTAAACACTTTTATAGTTCGAAAACGTAATATTTTATTTGTTAATTGCGTCAAAATGTACAGGCGTATATTGTACACACGTGGATTTGTTTGTCCACGCATATGCTTGGAAACAGTGGTGGTGGTGAGTACTCTGTGCTACAATTCTGCCAAGCCACGTTCGATTTCTGGACGTGCACATCGTTGACAATTGGTATCCGAATCCTACCAGAACAATCTTCGAGGCTGATTGATCTGTGGATACGCACCTGGTATGATGTAAGACTATGGGTAAATGTGACCAGGAATTGTGCTGTCCACAACATCCCTTTAATGGGTGCTGGCTATCGGCACTTTCTCTCTGTGATAACTGCCGATTCCAATGTTTGTCATTTAACGCGACAGTGGATGTGTATGAATTTTACACTGCATTTATGTAAACTATCTTTTTTTTCCAAGTTCGCACATTAGCTGGTGAGTCGATCCCAGGAGGAAATTTGTAAATGAAAATCTCAATTGGGAGTCATGTCAGTGCTTAATCTCTCTGGGGCAAATGTAATGAGAACGACTTCATTGATAGTATAGTCACACCCACTCCCCAAATATGACATGTGGAATTTTCCTAATCTGTTTTCAGCTGTGACCACCAACCGATGTTTGTTAGTGAGACGCTGCTTTTACCTTTTTTTTACTTGGTTCATATTATTAACAAACTATCCACTGCTGCCAATGTGATGTGGGACACGCATCGAATGCATCGGTTGTAACACTATCTCATTTTTAGAGATGGTCAATGCCTCATTAACTTGTATATAGGACCAGGCCATTATGTGTCGATACCGTGACTAAGAGTGAGCATGTAAGAGTACGCCAAATGCCCCCTTCGAAGGGCCTCTCGCGAGCTCCCTTCAGTGGAGAGCCTTCTGCCAGCGGTGGCAATGAGCTGCATCTTTACCTTTTTAAATCTTGACGATATGTTTAAAATTACTTACAATAATATCTCTCCAAAATGCATTTTGGAGGCTTGATGTATCGATATTGAGCCTTTTGTTAGGTATCTTGCGTTATAATCATGTAAGACAATATTTAGGATGAGCGCGATGATGATGTTAATGATATAATAATCTTTAATTATATGTATATTTTTTGTCAAAATATTTGTAATTGGCCTAACATAGCTTTCTGAAGAAAAAAATATATAAAACGTTGGCTGCCGCCATCAGCTTCACTTGTTAGAAAAAGAGAGGAGCCCAGTTGTGTTTGCCCAAACAGATGCCTAATTACAAATAAATTGAGTTCAAATCAAATGGTCTAGTGATGCGTGTAATTGTGGCGAGAAACTTTCCGAAGTCGGCCTTCCATTTCACTGGCAGTTGAGCGCCTTCTATCCAAGTCGCATTAAAAAATTCAAAAAAAATTGAACACCACCCCAGCTAAAGGTCCAGTTTCTGTTCAACAAAATGAAGCCACGTAGTTTTTTTCTCTCTCTCAGTTTAAACAGGGTCCAATATAAATGTGCCAGAGATACAGTCCTTCCCTTTAAGTTGGATCTGCAAAGTGGTTATCAAAGGAACACTGTGCAAACATGAGCAGTCATTATCTACTCCACCCCCCATACCCCTATGGCAAGTGCTTTATACAATTAACTATTGCTGTGATTATCAATGAATCAAGCTAGAAAGGTGATTGATTCTCTAAAAGGAGATAACTTTAAGAAATAGAGTTTTAATTAAAGCGATCTAGGTGATATTTACAAGTCGGCTCGCGTCTTCAAACGCGCATTAAGCCCTCCGCTTTATTAACAGTGATTATGATCAATCATTGTGACTATTTCACGCAGCTGAATGAACGTGTGCTCAATGTAATTTCCATGCATAAATAAGTGGGTATAGTGTGCTTTATGTACACTTAATCTTCAATGTGAGTTATTACTTATCTGTGCTGCGCATTGGCGTTATTACAGAAGTCATTGAGCAAAGTGAGCCTTGAGCCACGCATGTGTTATTTTTACATTTCAAAGCATTCCTTTTTAAAAATAATTTTGTGAAATGCTTAATTTCTCACTCATGCTCATTGCTGCATCTGGAATAGCCAACTAATATGACAGAGTGGACGTTTAATTTTACACAACCGTGACATAATCAAAACACACTTATAATATGTAATTACCTCGAAATTGTTACGTATAATAGTTTGTTTTTATGAAAGTCAAACAATATAGGAATACAGTAGAAATAGTAATAGTACGGAAATATAGTGCAGCGTTTCATATATTTTTCAAACGTACTCGTGAGCTGAAGTGAGTGCATGACACATCTGTTGCCAATTTCTTCTTCATATTTGGAACACTGCTGCTCAGTCCCTGGATTGACAGGAATAACAAGAGTTCGTTTTGTATGCAAGTTGATCAAATTGCCTTTTCAGCGTATATACATATCTGCGCGATTATCTGAAGCGTGTAAGATCGTTTAACGTTGTAATAAAAAATGCCTTGTATCATTTCAGGTCCTTTGGAAAAATGTGCTGCTGGAAATAACAATGAACATTCATTTACAGAATACCCGCTAAACTACAAATTGATAGGTTTGGAGTCTGCATTCTTAGTCAAGGACTTGAGGGGACACGATACAGCGTTCAATTTCAGCCAAAAGTCTTTGACCCAACCGTTTCTACTTCTTGGCACGACGAATGCCAATTGTGGAGTAGGTGTCAGCCATGGTCCACTTTCGTCCTGGCAAAGTCTGCACGAAGACAACATCGGAGCCGGCGGCCCCACTTCGCTGCTGTCAGAAATCCCGAATGCAAAGTGGAGGGTGGAGGCCTTCGTAGCCGAAAAGGACAAATTGTCCGACGCACCAAATGTCCAAGTTTTGTTTTACGTTACTGGGATTGATTGGAATGACAAGGACGCGACAGCCAAACTGCCCTGTGTTAGACTTTACGCGGTGTATGGCACTCAAGAGGTGAGAGCGTCGTGTCATCTCCAGGGTGAACTCGGAATGTGCTTGGCTGAGATAGAGCTGCCTTCAAATTGGTTTAACCTGACGGATCAAGCAAATAGCAATACCGATGATGAAGATTTAATTACGCGGCCCTTGGTTAATTCTCCGATGTTTCCTTTCGGCTCTTCCCTTGTTAATTTGTATTACACCCTTCATCCGGCCATAAAGCAATACACCTGCACTACTGAAAATAATTATGATGAAGGATCAAGAACAGCAAATGGTGAATGGAAAAATAGTCATCGTAATTGGATAACCACCATTAAGCTGTATTCTTCGTCGTCGCTCAGAGCAAGGCTTGAAGTGAGGCTTGATTCGAATCTACTTATTTATTTGCCAACCAAAGCCATCACACACGGACAACACATCAACATTCCACTGCTCCTCATGAGAAATTCTACAGTGAAGGACTTTGTTCTCAGGTACGATTTTTTTAAAAATTAACACTCATTAACTGTAATTTCGATTTAAAGCTTTCGTGACTGCAGGGATTCATATTCATGGTTCTTTCGGTAAATTCACGTATTTTATTATTTCCCTTCTACGTGACTTTACCGAAAGAACCAAGAATATATAATCTGTATTGTTAAGCGTGTTTTTAAATGCACATATGAAAGAAGGTGCGTGTTTGTTATCTTGTAATAGAAATAAATTCAACGTTATTCCCCCCCCCCCCGCCCTTTTGGCACTGCAAGCTGCAGGTAAAAGCACTTTTGTTGAAGCAGGTGCCTGACCTAGCCATCATCATTCACAATAACAATTACGAATCACATTACGGAGAATATTTTCACGTAGTGATGTATCTTTCAAGTGCATTCAAACGCTCTGAATGCAAATAATGGCTTTAGAACATTTACCATGAAATGTAAAGTATGTAGCTCCGTGAATATTTTAAAGGGCATTTGAAGTCATGATTGGAATGTTGTCTTAATTGTTGAGAATGACAGCACCATACGTATTTACCTGAGAGAATTATTGTAAAATATATACTGTATATGCCATTGTGTGCATGTGTATGCCTAACTGTATAGGTAAAGGTGCAGCCCTGCAATTTCTTGTTGGGCAGAAGGGCGTCCGTTAGAGGAAGATCTAGAGTGCCTCTAGAGGATAGTTTAACTTACTCTTCCACACTGGCGATATGGTTTGGAAGAGGTGGAAGTATTGACATTTTACCCCACAATACTCGACTGACCAATCAACTGCCTCAACTCTCTGTGTTTTGAAATTTGAGTACTGCCATTTTCTTGGCCACTCATAGCAATGATTGGAAATTCACTGTGAATCAATCTGCTTTTAAGTTGGGCCTTGGTATCTGCTCAATTTTTCTAAAATAGTCATGTACGTGTCTGCTTCCCACCATGCAGGACTTCCGACGATGCATACTTGTGCGTATGTGTAAGTTAATTAATACGCACGATGGCTAATTCTAGTCGGTTGATGCTGTGGCAAAATGCCTGATATGCAACCATATCAGGCCCATCATCTCCCTGGGGATAATGCAATTATTAACACTGTGTGAGAAGTTTTGTTGCGAGGAGACCGATCTCTGTAATATGAAGATAAAACGTTCACTACTGCTTTGGGCTGCCAACGGAGATGGCTACTCCCCAAGCCTCTCTTCAGCAGTGGAGGCTATGATGATGATGGGTGCCTTGGTGGAGAGATGTTAACTCCCTCCCCTGGTATACAGGAGGTCGTAGGTTCGATCCCGACCCTTAAGCCTGCTGTATATTTGGAGTTCGCATGTTCTCCCCGTGGTCGTGGGGAGTTTTCTCCTCTGGTTTTTCCCTCCAGATTTAGAAACATGCGTTTAGAGTATTTGTCTGCAGTACATTTCCAAGTGGTAAGCCACTTTGTTGAGCTATCAGTTGTGGCCAGGTCACTTCTGAAAAATAGCTATATACTCTTTGGTGTTTTCGGTAAAGTCACGTATAAATAAGAAATAATAAAATAACATAATAGCATACAACGTTTCGGTTGCAGCACAAGCAGCCATCATCAGGTACAGAAGAGCTAAATTTACGAGAGTGGGGAAACACATAACCTCAGATGTATATACAGACACCCAAGTAGGGGGAACTAACACAGATACAACAGGGGACACAGAGAGAGAAGCATACCAGACAAACAGGGTTTAGCAACATTTTTGGAAACCATATAAAGCAACACAGACGGTCGGTCAAAACACAAATAACGCATAGTCCGGTTGATCACGCTATTTCAAAGATTGCTAAATTGCAAGTTAAGTATGAAACTCAAAATACAGACCGCACACACACACACAGACATCCAAGTAGAGCGAACCAGCACAGAGACAAGCACACAGTGAAGTCGCCTTAAATAGGCAGAGAAGGTAAGGCTGAGAGACAATGGGACAAAATTAGCATGAGGCATGCATGGAGCAAAGTGGGGCGCGGCAGCACATACTCGGAAGCAACAAGGCCTGTGTCCCCTGTTGTATCTGTGTTAGTTCCCCCTACTTGGGTGTCTGTATATACATCTGAGGTTATGTGTTTCCCCTCTCTCGTAAATTTAGCTCTTCTGTACCTGATGATGGCTGCTTGTGTTGCAATCGAAACGTCGTACGCTATTATGTTATTTTATTATTTCTTATTTATACGTGACTTTACCGAAAAAAAACAAAGAGTAATTCCTGCAGTCACGAAAGCTTCAAATCAAGTCTGAACCACCTCTTCGGGGAGGTATGAGGTCTCTGTCTTTGTGTTGTCTCTGCTTGTGTATCTGCCTTTGTGTCTTGGCTTGGATTTGTGTCTCTGTGCTGTCTCTGCCTGTGTGTGGGCCTTGTTGCTTCTGAGTGGGTGCTCCCGCGCCCCACTTTGCTCCATGCATGCCTCATGCTAATTTTGTCCCATTGTCTCTCAGCCTTACCTTCTCTGCCTATTTAAGGCAACTTCACTGTGTGCTTGTCTCTGTGCTGGTTCGCTCTACTTGGATGTCTGTGTGTGTGTGTGCGGTCTGTATTTTGAGTTTCATACTTAACTTGCAATTTAGCAATCTTTGAAATAGCGTGATCAACCGGACTATGCGTTAATTGTGTTTTGACCGACCGTCTGTGTTGCTTTATATGGTTTCTAAAAATGTTGCTAAACCCTGTTTATCTGGTATGCTTCTCTCTCTGTGTCCCCTGTTGTATGTGTTAGTTCCCCCTACTTGGGTGTCTGTATATACATCTGAGGTTATGTGTTTCCCCTCTCTCGTAAATTTAGCTCTTCTGTACCTGATGATGGCTGCTTGTGTTGCAACCGAAACGTCGTACGCTATTATGTTATTTTATTATTTCTTATTTGTACGTGACTTTACCGAAAAAAACAAAGAGTAATTCCTGCAGTCACGAAAGCTTCAAATCAAGTCCAATAGCTATATAGCTCAGCAGACTTTACCTAGTAAAATAATAACTAGTAATAGATTCGCAAAGCCTCAGTCACACTTGAGAAGCAATATAACCATGAACAATTGACTAATAACCAAGATGGAAATCCAAGATGGGCAAACTCAGCTATGAGATATAATGCAATGCTCAGGACTGCACATGCTATGACATATGGCTCAGTTCAGAAACATGACGATGATGATAATTAACTACAAAATTAAACACAAACTGAAAAAAGCACGGCAGAGATGCATTCTTCAAATTATACCGTTGAGGCAGAAAGAGGAAGACATGTACGAACGAACATAATTGAACCTTATGGCGGGACCCCGGGATCCCGAATAAACGGAAGCCAAAATCGTAATTAATAAATGTAGTTTTGGCGACTCCGTCCCACCAAGCACATAAACGCCTCGACCCACCTGGCGCGGATCATTGTTGTCGTGTCGTCCAAGCGCAGCGAGGACGAATGAGCAGAAGAGCTGAACAAGCGAATGCACTCCATGCTCCGGTATGGGCAGGATCATAATCTTAACCAAAGCTGCTAAAACTGCCTAGGCGACTTAAGTCCTTTATTTGTCATAACGGTATGCATTATACAGTGAAACTGCTCTCTTATCTTCATTATTATTTGTGACCTACCAATGTCTGGAGCCAGTCCTATTACCTGCAGAGTGCAGATATTTAAAAGATGAGATGCGTTGCACCGTTAATTCCTCCTGTTTGATAATTAATACTTCTCTTATCCGTACGCATCTGTGCAGCTAGGTTTATTTTGCGGTTAAACCATATTCCCCACATACCGCTCGTATCAATGTGGATAAGAGAAGCGGCGACCCACTACTCTGTAGAGTAACATTGGTATAAACGCGTGTTACAATATGAACAGCGCATTGAAAACGCGTACTATATTATGTACTGTTTACAAAGTGTGTTTACGAATCCACACTGAGAAACACGATGATTAACAGAGGGGTGTAAATATTTTATTCGATAGTGTATTTAAATAGAGGTACTGCAGGTAAGTAGTTTTCAGTTTTAAAGGCATAGTTTAACAAGACAACACTTTCCACCATCCTTCAACCCCATTCGCGAAAAAGAGCAAAGTTTGTGTTTACATTATAAAATAATGTTTATGCGAGAGCCGGAGGCTCCCGCCGTAAGGTTCTTATGCAGGTTAAAGGCATAATTCAAACTGTAAAAGAATAAGTGAGCGAGGGCAGGACGCATCGCTCAGAAGGTTGGTGGCTGATGGTCAAGAATGAGGATGGGGTGGTAGTCGTGAAATCAGCTCGTTGCGCAGGTGCTGGATGATGTATCGCAAACCAGAATCATGAGGGCTACAGTCGGCTTAGGGAGCCCTTCATCCAGCAGTGGATAGATTATTGCTGCTGAGCATGACAATAGATTATTTAATGTTTTGCTGCTCGACATATAAGCCACTTCATTGGGCTATCATTTGTGGCCAAGTAGTTTCTGAAAAAGAAGCTAATAGCTCAGTGGGCTTTATCTGGTCAGATAAAACAAATAGTTGCGTATATTCTTTCAGTGATTTGTTTACGTTTCCTATACTTTGCACTCCTCTTGTGTTTTTGTATAGTTGTTGTCACGTTCTTACCCCGTCCTTCAACTGGACATCTGTGAAAAAGAGCTTCATAGCTCATCGGATTCCTCGAGTATAAAAACAGGTTCTGATTCTGAATAATAAGGCATAGTAATGAATATATAGAATACAGTTTCAGTTTATTTAATTTGGTATAGCCCTGTGAGCCATTCGGCTCTTGAATCGGGTGCAACCACAACAATCAAAAAAACAAAAACACGAACAAGAAAAACATCTTAAAGTGACTATGTGTGACTGTGCAAACAGAAAATCCATGAAAAAACACAGCAAAATATTCCTGAAAAAAAGCACCGTACACCAACGCTGTGTGCAAAAAATCCCAGTGGGATGCAAGTCAAACAACAACAACAACCACAAGAAAACTTAGATTAAGGCCATCAGTCTAACTCCGTACTACAACAAAACAA